CGTAGAAATAAACTCGCCGAAGGGTCAGAGATAATGATGATCGTTTCATTCTACAAACGAGTACGAGGAAAAACCTCGAATGGAAATGAGCGGGAATAATCGAGGATAATCCAGTCGCAGAACGTAATTCAAAGACGTGCAAAGCGACGATATAATTTCCTGCGAGCCGTAATTGATTGGGCAGGAACGAGCGCTGGCCTCTTCCTGCGATTAACGAAAAGTGTTTCGCAAAAAAGTGAAGGCAAAGTGGAGAAAATGGAGCGAAAACGATGGCCTACATTGAACAGTCGTTACGTTTTCAATATAATTCATTACTCCGTTCGGTCTTTATTGCGCAACAGACGTTCGGATAACTGAAGCAGTATAAATCTTGCATCGTTCGACCTATCCTTTTCCAAAAGGGGGAATTATCCATTAACCGAGGATCGTTCGTAGCTAATTACGAACTTCCACCTTTCGAACACGTTCGTCTCGTTAGAGAGGAGAAAGAACTTGTTTGACTTTGTCTGATATTTCTATTTTGTCAGTGAAATGGCTGTTAGTAAATTGGACTTTATTTTTCGATGGTTCTCATTAAACTAAGCAAACCTGTGTATTTATATATATATATGTATAAAATACGTCAAGAATGTACACAATATGCAAATAATGCGGGAAAATATTACAATAATTAAAAGTACAATGTTCTTCGTAATATCTGATGGATTTTTATCTTCATAAAAATATAAAATTGCACGAACATCTACAGTCTAGCGGGTTCAAATTCATAATCAGTCAATATCATCTGATATTCGTAATAATAAATTTATATTATGTTAACTATGAGACATGCATCTTCATTTTTCTCTCAGTGAATATAATTTTATTACTGCGATTTAAATGAAAACTAAAGAATAGCATATAAATCACAAATAATAAATAGAAACATTATAAAAATCTAAAACTATCGTTCCATTCTTGAAGTTTGTAATTTCTCTTGTTTTTAACAAAATTTCAACTAACGTAGATATATCAAAATAAAAATTTGATGATTCAATGTAACGTCTTTACTTCTAACGTAATAATCATTATTATTTCACACAAAAATATTGTCAGAATGAAAATATCCAATATCCTTAGGCAGGATTTAATATAATTTTGGACTAGATAATTACAAAAAGGAGTGTTTAAATTAATTAAAAAAGAAATATTTTTATAAAAACATTCATTTTGTAAATTGAAATTTGATGTAATATGTAATTACATAACTAATAATATATATATATATATATAATAATTAAAGAATTATATACTCTGTCTAAATATCATAGCTATCTTCTTACTTCTTAGATCTATGCAAATCCAACTATCCAACTATCAATTATTAATTGAGTCGTGAAGATGAGAAAAAAGCTAAATATTTAATATCTTTCAAAAAATTATCTCTTTGAATATTTTTTTTGCAATTTAAGAAGTATATGCAATGCTAATGTAACGCAGTTTGTTCGTTCCGAGTATTTCCGACCTCCACTCTCAGACGTGTTTCAAAACGAATGAACCGGATAACAGTAAGCAGTATCTGGAAAGATATTTATGTGTTGAAGTTTCGCATCCTTTCACATCAATGTCATAAATTATACCACACCCGAGATACCTAATTCTTTATGCTTGTATCCTTACAAAGGTAACGTATGCAACGATGTCTAAAGAGTAAAGTCGCCTAAACTCAAATACAGCCGAAAAAAAAATGCTCGAACTCGATTTTCTCGAAAACAAAGTTTTAACTGAAAAAAAAATGTTGTTCTTTCTTTCTAACATATTTCTTGTATCTCTTGTTTGGTTCAAGCGTGAAAACTGGAGCACCGTGTATAAGAAGGTGAGCAAAAAAAATTATTAAACGCTGGAAGCCTGTTGAGAACACAGAATCACATTGACTTGTATAATTTTTCTTAATTGAAACTTTCAACTGAATCGCAAGGGGGAAAAAAAAAGAAATTTCCAACCTAATGACTTGGTTAATTTATCGGCAGTGGCCGTTCGTTCGACTGTACGCGTAGGAAAAGAGGCTGATTTAAAAATTCAAAGGAAAGAGAACACTTGAGCTCGCCATTGGAAACAGATTCAGTTCAGCGGTTTTAATTTCCCATTTAAATGAATTACCTGGCAATTTCATGAACCGTGGACTTCAGAAGTATCGTACGTATTCAAAGACTTCCCTTGTCCCTTTTCTTCTCCCAGCTCCAACATAGTAATTGACCCGTTAACTCGACGATGTATTTACATCGGTATCCAGGATTCAGACTACTTTGTCGCATTTTAAATTCGCGACAAAAAATGCTTCAGCCAATGTGCGGAGCAAGAAAAACGAAAGATAATTTACGTTTCAGAACAAGAGACATTAATGACTAAGAATTTGTGAACTTTCAGACATATCTCCTGCTAATATTTAATGTCGTATACGAGCTTTAATATCATTGATTTCTTAACCAAGTAAAACAGTTGGCACGCACTTTGGCTCAGAGAAATATTTAACTCTCGTTCGTCTCTTATTTTTCCAACTTATTTTGTCCCTTGTTGTCAAATTGATGCAATGATAAAAAAAAATTAACATCTGCAACGAAAAGATAAATGAGTTGAAATCGTAAAATTCTTTCATTAACAGCAGACGTTATACATTTTATAAGAAAGACGTATCAAATTGACACAAAGGACGGGCAATTAATAAATAAATGTAATAATATAAATGATAAATAAATATATAATATACAAACATATAAAATATTCAAAATATTTGTTATAATATTTAACAGATGAATTGGATCTCTAGCTAAGTCCCACCTTTTTAATTATCTTCACAAAATTATGAATTTACATTAAAATTTGTAATCTAATAACGACTGTGATAATTAATGTTGGTTAATAGTAAGGCGGTTTCTCTCCGATTCATTCACTATTTATCCAGTTGTATCACTGGAACATCTCTTTTTATTAAACTATAATTTTATTTATAGATTTTATAGATTTAAATGTATTTTAATGTAGCTCAAATTCTTTTTTTATTTCGAGTTCTTGAACTCCATTGGATCTTATTAAATTTTTAATGATATTAAATTTCAAGTAACAAACCTTCTTCAACTTTCTCAATTAATTGGTGACACAAGTCAATAATGTTCAAAGCTAAACAATATTGACACTCCGCGCAGTCTTCATATTTCTTTTTATTAAATTCATCCGAGCAGTAACTCTAGCACTATGCACGTGTTCATTCTATTCTGATATCGTGCTGCATATTTCTGCATATTGCATGCATTTGTATGCATACACGTTGCCTGTATTTTTTCCACAAACACCTAGAAACTTAATAATAATCCGGGGAAAAAAAATGGTATGTTACTTCAAAGCAAGAAAAAGGAGAGGATAAAAGGAAACTGTAAAGAAAGAGAACTCGTCAAGTAAAGCTTTCTACTAAGCCTGAGCTTTAGACACCAGCGACAATGCAGGTCAAGTCAAAGAATATATGCACTGTTGCTCGAGTTAGTGTAATAACATTCAGAACCGAGAAGTTTCATTAAGTCGAGGTAAGCGAAGTTATATGTATAATAATATTTGGAGCCAAGGAGCTATACATGTGTCACACATGTGTTGTGCATATGCATATGTATGTGTCAAGCTTGGAGTTAAGCTAAAGAGCGAATATGAGTCATCATATAAAGGAATTAAAAACTTTATGTTTCTCATGACATAGTCGTGAAACATATACAGCCACAGTTATGCAAGGCAAAAGTGTAATCATACTTTTGAAAGTGAAGTAGTTGTTAACAACCTTGCTCTTTGCAAGGACGTGTCTTGTAAAATTGAGAATTAATATTATCCCTTTATGACAATGAAAACTATCCTATGAAATGATTTACACGGTTATCATTCTCATTCTGCTATATTGTAAATATATAAATTTGATTTAACCTTTTTTTTTTCACAAGTGTCGAAAAGATATTTTTGTCAAAATTAATACTGATTTTCGTTTAGACACGGTCAGTAATTATATAGATCCATATATTTTAGCTATTACCATTTAGGTTGTAATGATTGATATGTAGAATATTTTGGTACGTATTGGAGATCGATAATCCTAATGTTAATCCGATTTATTAAATTAATTTCACTAAAATAATTTTAGTTCTCATCAAAATTCCGCATCATTTATATACATTATCTTTCACAGATGTATGCAGTAAGCGACAGTTTTCATGAATAATCTCAAAGAGAATGATTCTATAAGCAAAAATGAGAATATTTAATCATTTTTTAAATAAAAACATTTGATCATCACTAATCGTTTTTATTAAAAGAAAGAATAATATTTTTTCATTAAAATCTGCGTTTTCGAGAGAATCAAACTTTTTCAGATAAACTTAAATTTAATTAATTTCATACTACATAGGGAACAATCAATCTAGAGAATATTTTAAATTTGAAAATAAAAAAAAAATGCAGAGAAAAATTAGAATAAAATAAAAGATTTCGTTTTCAAGAAAATAGACTTTGGATGCGTTTCCTCAAAACAATTACTTTGATACACCTGTACCTGATAAATTTTTAGATTTAGAAACAAATGTAAAATAGAATTTTTTAGCTTAAGACTTCATCAAACAAAAAAAAAACAGACTTTAAAAAAGCTACTCTTGGTACACATACACAAATAAATTTTCAAATTAGATCGTCTTCCCACGTAGAATAATTTTCTATCGATTATTCTCTTCTGTCCAGTCCGGAATTAATTCAATTTAGAAAATATTCAAAGTCAATTTTCTCGAAAGTGAAGCTTCGCGTGAAAAAATGTTTAGATTCGGTTAGAATTTTTTAGATTAGGTTGGACTCTCTATATCTTTCAATTTATTTTTAATTCAATCTAATTTATTTCGTTCAACTTATATTGAAAACAATGCTTGTCGACTAATGATATTCTAACAAATGCGTAATGAAAAATAATTTTATTTTGCTTGTAGGATTGCTCGTGCTTCTTAATTCTTACATCTCTCGTAGCGGAAATAATAGCTACTGGACAGTCGCATGAATGCTAGGTTTTACTACTGCGATATGGATGCAGCAAAAGACGTCACATTAAAGTAAGAGGAATATTATATTAGGTGCATGCTATGTGAAAAAGTCGTAGCTATTACTCATGTATACAGAATATTCCCTTTTCCCATGAATCTCTTTTTCCTTTTAAATTCGCGTAATAATCCATTTTTCTCCCTAACTCTGCCCTGTTTCCCTCACTTCTTTATCATGTTATATTTTTTCAGACTTCTTCTCACTTTCTTTGCAATAATTTATTTGTCAAAAGACCGTAAATTACTAAAGTCATATATTTAAAAACTGTGTATATTTTTTAATATCTTAACATACATAGTTTTAGTATTAGTATTTTTTAGTATTAGTATATTTATTTACTATTTAGTATTTATTGCGCATCTATATTGGATTGTAAAATATTTCTTTCGCGCATAGTAATTGCTTTCTTTTGTAATCCATTACTGAATGTAATCATAATCACAATCATAATCATAATCAGTTAATGATTATAAAGATAAATCAGTAATCACGAGTAATTTCAGTCATTAACTTTTAAATCATTCATTAAGATCGTAATGTTGAATATCGTTTGAAAAAAAAAAAATGATTTGGCTTTCATAAATTTGAACCGAATCGTATTTTAATAAATGCGAGCGTGAAAATTATAAGGTTCGAAATGTAACGAAGGTGGAAAACGAATTACAAATGGTTAACCTAGTTTCATTAAAAGGCGCGTGTATGCTGATCCGCGTAATAACTTCGACACTCCAATTACTATAAAGTATTCTCAAGAATTTTTCTTTCGCACGGTGGCAAATAATTTCACTCGTGTAATTTAATAACTGGAACGTGATTTTCAATATTTCGTTTCGCAAAATCTGTGACAACGTAATTCTTTCTGAAGTAATTTTGTAAATATCTTGAGAACGAGAATTTTTCAATTAATAATATTTCAGGTTGAAACGCCTGAATTGCAATTAATCGTACTTTTTGATCGATGCTAGATGCGAGAATATTTCATCAAAACTTCTAGTAGGTTTCTATTTAAAATTTTAAATATTTTGAACATTAATAAATTATATAATATATAAATATATTTATATTATATAATATATAAATGTATATTGATATATATGTAATATTAAATATATTATATAAATAAAATAATTATGATATAACAAATATATATATATTTAATTATTAACAATATTAAATATATATATATTTGTTATAATTATTTTATTTTATTATAAATTAGAAGTTAATTCAATAATTGCGTTCTTATTTTGATTTTAAAACTCAAAGAAATAAAAATATGATCTTCGATTGATCCCTATTATTTAAAATATTCAATTTAACAAAAATTCGGCAAATAAAAAGAAAATGACGTAACCATTGCGAACGTGATTAACAAATTTAAAATCATTTTCATTGATCATTAGTCACTGTATCATCATTCATCATTCATTACCTTCATTCATCTTTAGAATATGAATTCCAGCTGTCACAGGATGGGATGGGATAGGAAACTGAAGTCATTCAAGCACTCTGAATCCGATTCAAGGTAGTCGAATTGGATAAATCACTCTGTGCCCACGCAACATTTACTTTGACGACGAGCGTGTGAATGTTAACAGCGTAGTTCGGCTGCTCGTGACTACGTTAACCGTTTCTCTTTGAATATAAGCATGTAAGTAAGTAAGTACTCACGTAGGGCGGCGTGCAGAAGATCGCCTTACACCACATCGGCTCCGAATGATAGCAAACGCAGAGACTGCAAACCGCAGGCCCTGGCACATAGAGGAGACCATGTCGAACGATCGCCCCCTGGAAGTCCGTGCAGTTCTCTTCCAACCCAGCTGAAAACGATCCGGAGCTTAAATACCATCGCGCCACTCGACAATCATACGCGCGCAGTTATGCTGGCGGCGAAATTGATTGCAAGAAACTTTTTGTTCGGATGGATCCGCATTGCAGTTGCAGTTACGATGCTTCCCTCAGAGCATCAATAGGAAGCAATTAAAGCAGTTAAATTGGAAAATATTATCGAAGCTTTCCTATAGGAGGAAGGAATTTTTCTATTGTAACTCTTTAATTCTTCAAGTCCGTGCTAAATTGTTAGTATTATATACGTAGATGATCGTGTAATCAATGATAAAATAATTACTTATCGGATGTTCGAGAAACATGACGTATTATAATGATACATCGAACTGTTACTATAATTTAAAGATGAGTTAATGTGTTATTATGCTCCTCGTTCGACGTTAAACTTCTAGATTTCTGTTCGAGTAATTTTAAAATATTTTTGTACGATTATTATACGGTATGTTTCGAATTTTACTCTTCTACAGATAGGACTAAAGCTAAAATATCAGGTAAAAGAAAGTTCGTTGAAAGCTATGTATCCTACACGTATCGATACGTCAACAAAGATATCAAATGGACATCAATGCTTTCATAAGGATACTGATTCGATGTACTTTTACTTCATATCGATTCGATACCTATCGAATGTGCAAAGGGTCTAAAATTTCAATACGTATCGACACTTTCCATTGAGTGTTTTGTTATCGAACTGATTGAGCACCATCAATGATCCAATCACTAGTTAACGTCGGATCTCTAAATTATGTCGAATTTTTACCAACTCGTACTTTACATTAAATTATACAAATCATTAATCTTGCCTAAAAATATTCGACGCAAATGATTCTTATACTCTTCTTTATCTTTCACAGCTTTTACACTACTCTTGTTCATTTTCCTATCTAACTTCAAGTCAGGTGACTTGAATTCAAGTTCTTTCACTTGTACGAACACAAACTTGAAGTCAAATTATTTGATTTTGGTGGTATCCGAAGCCTAAAGTGAACGAATGTAATTGAAATATAAATTAAAAGCACTTTGAAATTCAAAATCCATCGTTCAAATTTCCTATAAATGCATGAAAACCTTGGTGATAACAAATTTTCCGGCACAAAAACCTCGGACTACCACAGTGGTCAAAAATGATCAATTTATATTTTCTGTTGGAAATAATATTTTAAAATAATAATATTTCAAACAGTGTGTTGCTGATAGATTCAAACTATTTTTCAATCAAATGCTTGTGCACTCCACTGTACATAGCTCTCCTATTCTCTTTACTTTGATGTCCCTCTGATGGAAATTGTACGCTTTAATCGCTGGTAGTTCCAGCATGTTAAGTACATTAGCTAATTTGAACAAGACTTTAGGTGACATGAGAAGCGACACAAGCTCTTCGCAAAGACTGCGAAACTTCCAGCCGGATGTATGGGAACTCTTCTAACCCGTTCTCGCGTGTAAGTGTACAGTTAGTGTGAATCCGACGGGTCTGCCACCTCGCCCTGACGGCATATGCAAACGTAACTTCCTACACCCTCGTCTCCATAACGGCGGAAGGACGGAAACAATTAGGGCATCGGCCTTACTAGGTATCATTCGATCTCCTTTTACAGACACGTATGGAACACGTTAGGTTTATTCTTTGCCCACATCTTCGAATATACATACGTTTCTACCCATATTAAACGACTATTTAATTAATTGGTCCGACCGAACCGATCGATTTCGTCAACTGACTTTGCACCCAATTACCGGAATTGCCGGAATCGATGCTGCATTGAAACGAAGCGAAAATCATCCGAGTAAATTGATGCCCGGATGCTAATCATTTGTTAATCACGCGCGGAATCGAAACGATCCGACCTCGTTTCAACCGTGAATCGTTGTGTACTAGGTCAGTGGCAGGGATAATTCTCGCGTCGATTGTCCGCAAATTCGTAAAACAGTTGAGTGACGACTTGACGTGTCGCGCATCTCACGATGAATTTTTCTCTCGCGTTGTACACACATATGTATATATATATATATATACCGCAACGGGATATTTCTCCTGTGTTAAATCTACCGTAAAATATTTCGCGTCTAATATCGAAGATATTACCTTTTTCATAACTGTTACGTGTCTGCTTCCGAGAATATTCACGGTCTTGCAATTAACATTACGGACGTAAGAATGACAGGTTTCTCAAGTGTAAAGTTTCGTACAAAATGATAATGAGAATAATTCACTCCAATGGGATAATATTGGAAAGGTAAAGCAGAAAACGTAATATAATGGTTGATTCTTGATTCTTACGTACGTGCAAATATAAGTTGACAAACGAGGAACGAAATTTTTTCGTTATTATTGAATTAAGGAACAACACGGTCGAGAATTGAATTCGAATTTATATAACTGTATCGAGTCGATAATTTTTAATCTGTCATTACGAAAGAATACGCGACACGTATAATATACATGGTGGGCCAAAAGTTTCTTCCTACCTATCTTTTTTTTTTTTATAAAATCAAAATATAAGAAACAATTAATTTCATAAATTTTAAATTAAATTTAAGTTCAAACATGATTTATTTTAATAGTAAGTGATTTTTGGCCCTCCCTATAGAACGAATGGGTATAAAAAGACATTTATAACGTTTGTATTATATATTAATTAATTAAATCCAAGTGTGTTAAATTTCATTTTAATTAATATAAGTTATCTTCTAGTCTAGCTCTACGAACAGTGTACAACCTGATAAAAAAGAAAAGAAGAACGGATTCAGTGAGAAACAAATATTTTTTAGTAGCCATGTAGTGTAGAAATTGAAACTGATCTGATCGATTGCAAAACTAACCAACTTACCGGTCCTCGATGGAAGGAGAAGTAGGAGAACAGCGTGCAAATAGAATGTCGTCGTGATTATTCTCGAGTAAAGACTCGAATTGCTCTTCATGGTCCTCGAGTGTTCAGTCGCTGAAGATCAAAGGATGATGTCTACACAGAGAACAGTTGAAAACCGGCTATTCCAGCAACCACTGTGCACGCATTGCAGTAGCCACGAGCATCGTATCTACGAGCAGAAATCAGAATACAGTCATTTTCACATAGTTGGATCACAATTTCGCGTGGGATTATCCTGATTGATCCTAACGAGGCATAATTGCTCAACTCGCGACCTTAACCACCCGGTTGATTGCTAGTAAATGCCTGGAAATTGTCGCTGGGATTCTTTCCAGATTAACCAGCTTCCCCGCTAAATCGCAGCAACGTATTTCCTTTCTTTTTTTTTTTTTTTTTTCCCCGCCTCTCGCTTCTAAATATCCAAAGAAACTAAATTTCTAAATTCAAGGAAATGTTCTTTCCTTTTTTTTAAATTTCTAAAAATATACGTTCTTTTTATCAGATTTTACTATCTTCATAATGTCGAGAATATTTTTTTCTTAGTATTCCATAGTGGAAGTTAAATTTTCTTAGTATCCTTCATAATGGACATTAAATTTCCACTTAATATCCTATTGGAAATTAAATTTCTTAGTATTCTTCGTAGTGGAAATTAAATGTTTGTGTAAAATTGATACGAGAATGTTACAACACGATATGAAATTTATATATTTATATATTTATATATTTAAATTTATATATTTATATATTTAAAGTTAATTAATTAGTGTGTAATAAGTAAAATGGATATTCATAAAATGCAAATACTTTCTGTAATCACTAAAAGTGTGAGTTTTTATGCATTTTAAAATTTTTATGAACATAGCTGAAAAAAGTAGCAATTTGTTTTGTTTATTAACAAATACTCTACTATAACTATTTTATACGTTATATTATATACATTGTTTGCATTTGTGTATCTGTCAATTTATTTCCTTAAATGCATAAAAATCCGCAATCTAGTAATTACACTGTCCTATTATGTTATAGTATCAATAGTTTTTAAAAAAGGCCGCCTGTAATTAATGACACAAAATGTGCAACAATATAAATAAACCTAACGGCTAGATAATGCAACATAAAAATCAATATAACACAAAAAACAATAAAAAAGTAAATAATAAACACATAATATAAATATATAAATATAATATAAATAATATGAATAATTGCACAATTTTTATCTGTATAATAATTATTCCCTGACAATGAGGATAATTTATCAAAGAAACTTTCAGGTATATGCGTTTTTAAAAATTGAACGAACCTCATGCTTTCTTGCCTTTTTAAGGTCTATCGTGCGGACTGCAATCGATTAACCTAACAATAAGTTAGAACGCATTGAACAAAGGAAGGCTAACGCCGCTTGTTTAACCTTTATCGTAACGGGGCCATCTCGTTCTAAAAATAATACAAATAGCTAATATTGGATGTTCGACTTAGACTTAAGTATTTATTCGTTGGTGAAACATTGCACCGACTGGCTGAGTATTGTTTACTGAACTACTAGAGTATTCAGTAACACACTCTAACTCACTGATCGTAGGTCGAATCTGTATCCGAGGGTAACAGTTATAGAAGAAGGGAGGTGTTCTAAAAATTACAAGTCCAGTATGACGTAATACTAAAAATAAAAATTTTTTTTATATATACTTTCGTTCGAAAGTATCTTAGAACACCTTTTATTTGATATATCAAATGCGATGAACGAAATTGATCGTAGATTACGATGTGTAGCTATACTTCTTTCGACAGAGACACCAGAATTAATTAAAATTAAATATGACTTATAAATATAAAGTACTTATATTCATAAAATAATATAAGTACTTGTATGTACTCTCAATAAAAAAAAAATAAAAACTAACATCATCAAAAAGGAAAAAAATTACGAAAATAAAGAATGTGATACATAGTGTTCAATAGTTTGATAGTTTTGATAGCTCTGGTGCTAAAATTGTGAAAACAAAGCCTTCTCCTATATTTCTGTAACTAAAATTGTTTGCAGTCAAATTTTTGGGAGAAAATTTATTCCTAACCCAAGATACATGTATATGCAGAAAAACATAATTTTGAAAAAGTCAATACGTACAAACATAATTTACATAACATTGTACTTACATTGTTTATTTCCAACTACAACTAAGTTTAAAGTATTTCTTAAATTAACAATCTTTTAGCAACCCTCATTATATAGTACAGAAAACGCTCGTGTTTCACATAAGAAACAAATCTGACGTACTGTTTCAAATTTTCCATGAGAATAAATACAGGAACAACAGCAGGAAAAAAAAATCACAGCGTTGAAATGCCATTCAATCTTTTCTTATCGCTCTTTTTTACGTGTTTCCAATTTTTGCAGCGCGACGTATCATGCTTCAATTCCATGAAAGGAAGAACAGAAGCTGAAACTTTCCGATTCGAATTAAGATAAGCCGATTTAACCTTTACACGCTATCTCCAATTACGTGAAATTTATTAAATTTATTCGCCAAAGATCGTCCATTGTCATTAAAACTTAAACTCGCGTAACAAGCGTACAACAAATTATGTAACTTTATATAACTCGCAATATTCCGAGTGTTCTTAGAATGTTTGAATTTTTTGAGTACAACGTCTCGTATTTTGTTTTTTATAAAACAATTACGTTACGAAAATTGTATCATGAAAAATACTCGCACCTTTCACTATTACAATTGACACTAATCATCTAATTATTTAGATACGATCATCTGCATGTTTTATGAAAAAAGAGGCCTAAAGACTCATCATATAAAAAGCACGAAGACCGCGTAAGAAACAGTGATAAGTACATTTCTATTGATTTTCTGATATTTATGTCACTAGGTGATTAGAAAGTACTTTAATAGTCTTTTAAAAGTCTTTTAAAAGAATGTTGTAGTTCCACAATATTAAACGAATAATATTAGTTTAATTCTTGTGTAAAGTTTGGCTGATTATTAACTAATCTGTATAATTAATGTGTATTACTAATCTACGTGTATAATTAACTACTGTGTATTGTTAATATTTTTTAACATTATTTAACATATTCGTTAACATTCAACGGAATAACATAAAACACATATTTAACCCTAAGATGTAATCTGTACAATATATTTATAAAAATTTCCTATAATATATTCCTATACACTTCCTATAGAAAATCATCTATATACTATAACTCCCTATAATAACATTCTTATCTATATGTATACTCTACATACTACGATTTTTATAGTGCCTATATAATAATAAACACAGTATAAATTTTCTACAGTGTTGTAAATTCTCTCGTGTGCTGTATTCACGTTTATTTTAAAATTCTGCTTCCAAGATAATGCTCAACCCAATATATTTCCGCTTCTTTTCACTCTCTACTTAAATTCCACGAAAACATTTTCGACACATGTCGTTTTTAGCAAAGATCTCGAAAACGTGTCGTAGCATCGCAATTTCAAGCAACGCACGCTTTGTCAACTTTTTAAAAGCGTTTTCCTTCTCTTTTTTTTTCCTTTCCCCTCTTCCTGCCTCTTCTTTTCCTTTTTTTTCAACCAGTAAAACCGTCCCCGCGGAAACGAGAATATGGAAACGGCATACTAGCAATGCTGTATTGCAATGACACAAGTGGTCTGCTTCAGAGAATCAAACTCGACACCAAGTTTCCAACTTCTTCCTTCCTTTTCCTCGTCATTATTCTTTCTTCATTAATATTAACATTTTGACATTTTTTTTCTTTTTTTTATCACTTTATCACAATCATTACTTGTCAGCCATCCACGAAGAAAATCTCGTTAAAATAATTCGCAATTGTCAATAACTGTACTCTTTATCTTACATGAAGAATATTTCTAAATTTTTTTTAATTGGTCACGTTCAACGCCAGATTAAAATTTTGAAATATCATCTCGTTTGATTTTCGTTAATGTTTTAACGATTGATTGTCTAATCGATTCGTTATTTGTTTATTTAAACATTGTTTGCCAGTGAATCTCTTAGTCCTTTAATCAAACAGTTAATTCACCATCCCTTGTTAAAGGGGTAAGACTATTCTATTTCTCTACAACCAGCAGATGTATAATTTTAAAGAAAATTAAAAATAAGTTATAGCTATATTATTATAGCTATATACAAGCTACTGTTTATACCGTGCATATTGTTATACGTATTATTGTTTTTTACAATTTGCATGTATGCTAAATTCAGAATCAAGCGGTACCCAAATGTCATTAACCCTACTAGTACTATACATGATTATATATGTATATCTATCGCTTGTTGCATACTAGAGATAACTACACACAACTTCATCTCTGAAACTAAAACCAATTGGCGATTATACATATATGTAGTTACATATTAATTGTAATATATAATAATTAGAGGTGTGCGAGAACCCGAAATATCGGGTCAGGTCGGGAACACGAAATTTCTTCGGGATTCTCGATTTTATCGAGATTCTCGAAAGAATCGGGATTCGGGAAAGGATTGATAACAAGAATAAATAATTCTTTAAAGCCACACGCCTTCAACTATATCGAAAGGTCGCAGATCTAGAACCATCATTCGAGCAATTCCTTCAGTTATATCTTTTAGTTCAACAATCTTTCGCGTATCATTTTGTACATGCAACAAATTTTATATCGATACAGTTTCTTTTCTAGTACATGTACTTATGTTTGAATAATTATTAGTAATATAATTATTTTCTACATAAATTAGTATTATATGTCATAGACTTATAAATTTAATACATGTGAACAGAATTTTAAAATGTTAAAATTTTATGTTTGAATGCATATGTTTCAAATGGCGTAATAAACCAGTAATATTTGCATGCTTAGTTTTAAATTCATGGTGACAATGTATGCATTCCGCTTTTGTATCATCTTTTTCCTGAAAATGTTCTCAAACAGAGCTTCTCTTTACCTTCTTCCTTTGCACGATATCTTCTGCACTACTTCCTGCTACCACAACTTTACTCTCACTATCACTCGACGTTTTTTTTAAAATCTTTATTAAATGCACACAGATTTTGAAATATACGTCTGAACTTCCCGAATTTCTCAGCGATACTACTCAACAGCGTACATAATGTCCAGGTACTAAGCACGCAGTCACACGTTCGTT